ATAAATATGAAATATAAAAATAATTCTTTATTGGGTATGTGTGTCTTTGATAAACTAAATGCATTGGAATTGTCACCTACTGGGAAGTTAATCTATAGAGTGATAACTGTAGTAACTTAGAAGGAACCGGCATTAAGTAATCAATAACAAAATCAGACAGCATTGGATCAATACAGTGTGGGACTTTTTAAGGATTATTGACATTTTTGCTAAAAGCACTATTTATAGTTAAAGCTATGATGTGTTCTTATTGAAGTACAAAGAACCTAGGAATTCCATTGTAGAGAAAAGTAGATGTGAAAGTGATGGATGACAGCAATTTATAAAAAATCCAGTGAAAACTGTTTCTCTCAAGAATCTGAGTCTTTTATTTGAAATTGTATTATTTATTTGTAAGAAGCAAATGTGAAACTTTTTATTCCTTCCTTAAAATTATGAAAACTATGCATTGGTGTTATACATCAAGCCAGAGAGCAATCAAAGTATTTAAATTCTTCCTTTTTTATTGAGAATGGAGAAAATAAAGATAATATGTGTTTTGTAGTCGGATAGAATGTCTTAATGGGCTTTTTATAAATTTGATTATGCGAATTGTGGATGGACAAGTGAATAGACTGGCATAAGAAATGATGAATGCAAATAAATGGATGGATGGATGGATGGATGGATGGACAGATGGGTAGAAGAACAGATGATGGATGATGGATGGATATATGGATATATGTATGTATGTATGGATGGGTAGGATGTATATAGGATGAATGGATAGATTGGTAGAAGAATGGATGTATGTATGGATAGATGGATAGAAGAATGGATATATGGATAGATGAACGGATGGATGGATGGATGGATGGATAGATGGAGAGAGGATGATTATACATTTTAAACTTTCATTTTTCTTAACAACAACATTTGCTTTGTTTTTATATATCTATGATTCACTGTTTGTACATCTGCTATGGAAAAGTTAATATTTTATAACTACAAACAAGATAGAGAGAGGTTTAAAAACTTGAACTATGAGTTGGTGAGATGCCTGTGCAGGGAAAGGTGTTTGCTGCCAAAAATAATGACCTGAATTCAATCAAGAACTGATATCTGAAAGTTGTCCTGACCTCCACAGGTGCACTGTGGCACATAAGCACACACACACACACACACACACACACACACACACACACACACATACACACTGCGTAAATAAACAGGAAGACGTATTTAAAAATAAATAAAACCCATTAACCATTTCAGCCAATCTCGTCAACGTTTTTAGGGTTACCTCTTTAGAGGAGAAATGTTTCAGTAATAACAAAGGCCTATTAGAGGGGAACTATTTCTTTATGGTCCCAAAAATGGAATTTTTGAGGTGGGTGGAGACCTAGTGTTCCAGTTGGGTTGGGACTAGCCCCATCAGAAGGCAAGACCACCCCTCAGTTTTGCATGTCCACTTCCAGGGATGCTAAAGGGATGGGAGAAAAAAATATATCCCTTTAATGAGATAATGGACCTTTCTTCCCAGAATTTCTATTTTCTGTGTAGTTGCTTATAGAGTAACAGCCATGCAGCTTTCTGAGTCTGTCTACCTCTCCGAGTTATTCAGAAAAGTATGGTTCTTCAATTTCTGTCTTAAGCAAGCTAAAACTTTGTGTTTTACTCTTTCTGAAGCTGCTCCTTCCTCTCCTGTGGCTGCATGTCTGCCCTTGTATGAACACCATGCTGCTCCACTCAACAGCTTGGTTCTCTCTCTCTCTCTTTCTACCCCCCCCCCGCTCTCCTCAGGCAGCTGCTGAGATTTGCGACTTGGCTGCTCTGTTTTTTAAAATTCGGTTTTGGTTTTGATTTTTGTTGTTGTCTTTTAACTTTCATGAAATCATTCTGCAACATTAGAAAAACAAAAGGTAAAATATTATGAATAGCGTCTTAAAAATAATATAAGCAAATACCTCAAGCTTAAAAGGCTATGAGATTTGTCACTCTTTGCATTTGATGCTGATCATTGTGTCATCCAAGGGTCCAGTACAACCAAAAGTCCATTAGCCTCCTATCATGTGCATGAATCCTGATTTTGCTAAGGGGCCCTGAGTCACACTTGGGCTACAAGGTAACCATTAGCAGGATAAGCGCCTGGATCCTTGCCTGCCCTTTACCTCTGCATCTGTCTCCTGTGTCACAGTCTTGGTTAGCTCTGCACTTAGACATATTAATCACTCAAAGAGTGCCTACAACTAATGGTAGCTGATTGGCTCATCTCCCATCAAGGCTAAAGGCACAAAGTTAAAACCACATGTGACATCCTAATGTTCCCATTCAGTTTTCTGTTCCAACTCCCTAAACTGATGTCCAAACATCTCCAGACACTGCCCTAAGCCTGCAGCCACCCTGGATTCCAGGCACAACACAACCTCACAGACAGATCACCCAGGCCACCCCCAGGCAGCATCTCATGGGTAGAACTGGTTTGCCCTTTAATCAATAAGGACTTCTTTGAACCAATCCTCAGAGCCAAACTGAGACAGTGACCAACAAAACCCACTTTGACCTAGACTGTATGTCTTCCTTAGCCATATTTCTGCTCCGCCGCTCTTCCTCTAGGTAAACCACAGGACCCTGAAGAAGGGCATGGAGTTCCTGACTTTAAACCACATTATTTGCTGTCCCCAATATGGGCATTGGTCAAACTTCCTTAGTCTGAGCTGCATGTCTCTGTGACTGGTGTTTTGGGTGAGTGTCCAGTCTGCAGGGACAACCAGAGCTGGTGATGGCATAACCACTGTGCTTTCCACATCTTTGACCATACCCCCTTTGTCTTCAGAGGGGCTTTTATTATTGCATAATAGTTTTTAACATGAAAACTTTCATGGCTAAAAAAAAATTACCCTGGGAACTGGAAAGGCTCCATGTTTAAGAGTGCTTGCAGCTCATCCACAGGACCAGAGTTCGATTTCCAGAACCCATGAACATTTCACAACTGCATTCCCCTGGGGATCCAATTCCTTCTTCTGGCTTCTGTGCCTACCTACATGCTTGTGATACATATCTATACCACTCACATATACAGATACATAAAATAAAATAAAAACTCTCTATCCTTGTGCTGGACGGTTTTACATCAACGTGACACAAGCTACGATCATCAGGAAGGAGGGAACCTCAGTTGAGAAAGTGCTTCCATGAACATGGGCTGTAGGCAAGTCTGTGGAGCTTTTTCTAAATTAGTGATTGATGGCAGAGGGTCCAGCCCATTGTGGGTGGGGCCACTGCCGAGCTGGTGGTCCTGGATTTTATAAGAAAGAAGGCTGAGCAAGCCATGAGCAGCAAGACAGAAGCAGCATTCCTTTATGACTTGTGCATGAGCTCCTGCCTCCAGGTTCCTGCCCCACTTCAGGGCCGGACTGTGATGAGGAAGTGTAAGCCAAATAAACCCTTTCTTACCAACTTACTTTTGGTATTTGTCACAGAAACAGAAACCTTAAGACAATCCTCCAAAGTCCTGTGTGTTTGTTAGTCATTGAGTTGCTCTCACTCTGTATCTCAGCTCTCCTTGAACTTGGGATCCTAGCAGAAGTACGCCACCACACCTTTCCAAACATCTCTGGCTTGAGCATGTAGGCTTTGTGCCAACAGATGCTGAGTGATCCATTCAGCCAGGATGAGGAGGGGATGTGTCTATTAATCTTGGGCAGGTGTTTTCCATGCGTTATCTCGCTTAACCCTCTAATAAAGCTGGAAGGCTTCTTTCTTTCTCTTGTATATGAAAACCGAAGCTTAGATGACTAATTAAGACTCAATTAGAAGACGAAGGATCTGAGATTCCAACCTGGTTGTAGTTCAGGAAAGCACATTTTTTACTGCTTCCCAGTAGGCAGTACCCTGTGTTCTTGTGTGGGACCTGACTGGTTCTGCTCAGCTGAAGCCGAAGAGTGGGAGGTTCAAGCCAATATAAGCCACATGGGGAGACACTGTTTCTACACTAACAAGAAAATGGACAAGGTTCTTATATGGTTATCTGATACTCAATCCTTTTCCCAGTGTTAACTCTTAGCCCATACTCATGGATTTAATTAAAAGAAAATCAATTCCATTTACAATGTACTATACTGGGCATTTTCTTGCACATCTTTTTAGGGGATTTTTTTTCCTTTTGCTGTTCCCCCCTGTCTCTTCACCCTCATGAATCAGCAGTTACAATGTGTTCTCTTGTCTCATCGTAGTTTATCTCTGGTCCAGGAAATCTTAAGTTCTTGTCAGCATCCTGGAGATGGAGCATAGGGTCACTGAACCCAGCTGGCTGTTCTTCCCATGTAATCAAACTTCTGGTCTCTGCTTTTCACTCTCTCTCGGCTCTTGAATTAGGATGGTGGTTGAGCCTAGCTTGTTAGGGCTGGCAGAATTTGGGCATCTGCCCTAAAACTCTAGTTACATAACAGTAGGAGAAAGAGGCAATTGACATGAAGCGTCAAGATATGATGGCTAAGTAGGGAATGATGACCTAAGACTGTGATCTTTGTGCTGGCAAGGTCGAGATAAAAAGACCCCTGGGGCTTGCCTGCCAGTCCATCAGTCTTTCAGAATCAGTGAAGTCTGGGCTCAGGAAGAAACTGTCTCAAAAGAAAAAAATAATCAGAGATTGACTGGAAGATCCACGGTGTTGTCTTCTGCCCACACACATGAATGTGCACTACACCCACTGGTATCCACACAGGGACACGCAGGCACAAACCACCACCACTGCTGATGCCGCAACCCCAGAAAGATATAATCTAAAGCTGGGTGACTATTGAGCATCCTTTGACTTTGAGGTGGTTGGTTTTAAGGTCAACAAGCCATAATTTATAATCAGCTAAGCAGGGATCCTCAACTGAAGAACTTTCTAATGGCCTTAGTTGTTATGGGACGACTCATTTGTGTGTGGCACCTCCTGGTACCCTCCCAGAGAAAAAGGGGTGGGACCCAAGGAAGATTATTTGCTATCTGCTCACTTGGCCTTCCTCCGGCAGCTGAATCTGTTTCCCTGCTGCAGATCCCTTCACGGGCGATAGAGCCAGCGTTTCCAGTCTTCCATCATTGACTACGGACCAGCTGCTCTCCAGGAACACTCCAGGGTCTTGATACCAAATTGGGAAATGCTGAGGCACTATCCTCATGTACCAGAGGAACTGCTAGCTTGTCGTCCTCTCTGGTATGAGGCAGCCCTTGTGGGACCCTTCCAACTACTCAGGCATGTCGTCTCCAGGACCTAGCAACTAGCAAGTGTTACTATTTCAAGGTAAGCTGATTTGATAAAGTCATTTACATGTACATGCACATACATAAATGCATATACCACACACACATATATGTACACACACACACACACACACACACACACACACACACACATATATATATCCATCACTTGGCTCTGTTCTTCCAGAGAACTCTGTCTAAAACAATCTTCTCATAGTTCATAGTTACCATCAATATGCTGTAGAAAGACTATTTGCCTGTATATTTTTCAGTACTGAGTAAGCAAAGCAAAGCCAGGGGAGTGTAAAGTGTTTCGTGACATGCAGAAAAGGATCAATCTCAGATGTGGTCAAGTCCAAAACTTTTAAGTGACAGATAAAAAATTGGAGGATCAAGAAAAGAAAGTCAGTGAACACAATCAAATGAGATTTGAGTTGTTGTGTGGTTTTCAATGGATACAAACCTGGCTTTCTGTAGTAGAAAAATGTTATTCTTCTACAATCTACTGATACATAAGTGGCTCAGGCAGCCTGAACAAGCAAGCTCAGCTACACATTATTCTCTTCACATTTTATTGACTCTTATCACTAAGACTATTTGGAGATGATTATTATTTATTTATTTTTAAATTGTTTTATTGAGCTATATATTTTTCTCTGCTTCCCCTCCCTTCCTCTCCCTCCTCTTCTACCCTCTCCCATGATCCCCATGCTCCTAATTAACTCAGGAGATCTTGTCTTTTTCTACTTCTCACGTAGATTAGATCCATGTATGTCTTTGAGTGGATTATTTTGATGAACAAGGAACCAGGAGAAGCTCTGTAAACAAGATAATATCTACTAAGGGAAATTTGCAAAAATGAAGAATGTCATTCTTAGGACCACTCCCTCCACACCCCTTACCTTTGCTTCATTGGATGAGGGGACCCTACCCACATGTTTCACATCTGCGCTTGACACTACTCCTTCCTTGCTTTCGCCTCTGTGTAGGCTGAATGAGTAGGTCAGTAGCTTGTGTGTGTTTTTTCCTTGTTATTCTGTGTGCTATTATACACATCTGTCCCAAGAACTGCTAGGCAGGAAGAAACCCCCTCCACCGCAGATTTTGAATCTGGATTAAAAATTATGAGTATTGCTTCATAGAAAAACTAATTTGTTTGATGTTGCTTTTAGAATCTTCTACAGGCTCCTTACAGGGACCCCAGATTGTTTAAAGAGCATGTCTTACTTAGATATATTGTTCAGAAGTATGGGTTTAATTTAGTAGATCTTATCTACAATGTTGGGAAACTCTAAACACTTATTAGTACATTTGGGAGCTATCTGAGGCCATTCCAGGGAAGGCGATTCATTCAAAGTGCAGGTGGTACAGAGAAAACTCCATTATAGTGAGCCAGCTACTGGGCTCAGGCTGAACTCTGGTCCTAGGAACTGTCCTACTAGGATGTTGATTTAGAAGCCGTTTGCATAGAAGGCAGGTTATGGCAGATTGGCAGGTGCATTCTCACAGATGGAGGCTCATGGACAGATGTGCACATCCGCTCATCCCCGTCTTACCACGGGATGGCTTATGTTCTGCAAAGCTGCAGGACAAAGATCATGATTTCCTGTGGCTATTCTTTGACACTGGCAGGTTTGCCTTCATACTGCTCCTTATATTTAAGGTGATGGGTGAGGCAGAGGGATTGGCCAGCCACGGTGCAGTAATGTAATAATACATGCTTCACCTAACTTGTAAAAAACTCAAAGCTAAGTGTATGTAAGTAGAGAATTAGGCATGGGATCCCATTTCAGTGCTTAACTTTATACTGAAGCTCATGAGAAATGCAAAAATGCGAATAATAATAAAATCTGCTAATACCTATAGTAATATCTACCTATGATCTATAGATGATAACCCAATTTTACCCTTAAGATTTCAGTTCATTCAATTACCTATTTGTGCTTTAAAAATATTTTTAACAGCTACACATTCATCTGAAATGTCTAGAACAGACAGACTCAAAGATTCAGAACGACCTGAGTATGGGGCAAACACCCTTAATCTCAATGTTAGGGTGGCAGAAGAAGATAGACCTCTGTGAATTACAGGCCAGCCTGAACTACTTAATGAGTACCAGGCTAGCACGGACAGACACTACGGGAAGGCAGAGAACACTATGGTAGCTGATGGGGTCTGGGAGTATGGGATGGGAGGGACTGCCAGATGGGTAGAAGGCTTCTTTGGAGGCTGGGAAAAGTGATTTGAAATTAGATGCATGAATATGACAATTTAAAGATCACTGGCTGTGCACTTGGAAATAAGAATTTTATGGTGTATTCTGTCTTCCTTCCTTCCTGCTCTGTCTGTCCTTTCTCCCTTCCCCCGTTCTGTCTGTTCCATCCTTCCTCCTTTCCTCCCCCCGTCTGTCCATCCTTTCTTCCTCCTTTTCTTCCCCCCTCTGTCCTTCCTTCCTTCCTTCCTTCCTTCCTTCCTTCCTTCCTTCCTTCCTTCCTTCCTTCCTTCCTTCTTCCCTCCCCCTCTTCTTTTCTTTCTCCCTCTGTCCATCCATCCTTCTTTACTTCCTCTCTCTTCTTTTCTCCCTCCCTCCTTCCCTTCCTTCCTCTACCCGTTTATCCCTCCCTCCCTTCCTCCTTTCTTTTCTTCCTTTCTTTCCTTCCTTCCTTCCTTCCTTCCTTCCTTCCTTCCTTCCTTCCTTCCTTCATGTCCCCCCCCTCCATGATATATCTGCATGTAAGCACCATGGGCTTGCCTGGTACCCTCAAAGTCAGATGAGGAAGTCAGATCCACTGGAACTGGAGCTATAGGCAATTGTGAGCACTGGGAACCAAACCAGGGAAGCCGGGTCCTCTGCAGGAGTAGTCAACATTCTTGACTGCTGAACAATTACTCCAGCTCCTCTTTAAAATATCTTTTAGTGACTAAATATGTCCTAGGTCTCAGGACACAAAGATGAGAAAACAATCTGTTCTCATGAAAGTTATAGTCTATCACTATTTAATGTTCACTGGTATACTTGAAACTCAGGTTTTTCTTTGAAAAAAATTCATGCCAGTATGAACAGTTTGCTTGAGACTGTACAAAGTCCATAGATAGGCCATTTTTCTATCAAAGGCTGATCTAGAGGTTTTAGGGCTTATTTTTGTAAAACAGCCTGAGAGAGACCCTGGCGGGTTGGAGCCAAGGGAGCCCATGGCAAGTGAGAGAGACAGACACACCACACCAACGGTGTTCAAGTGGGGGGTTTCTTTATTGGGGGGCGGGGAGAAAAGCACAGAGTGGCCTTGGAGGAGGGGAGAGAGCGAAATACAGAGACACAGAAAGACGAGAGAGAGACAGAGAGACAGAAAGAGATGGGGCTGGAGAAAGGGGAAGAGTAGAAGAGGAAGAAGAGAGAGAAAGAAGGCAGAGTTCTACCATTTTTATTGATTTTATTGATTACTTTTCTCTGTTCCCCTCCCTTTCTCTCCCCTCCCTTTCTACCCTCTCCCATGCTCCCAATTGACACAGGAGATCTTGTCTTTTTCTGCTTCCCATGTAGATTAGATCTGTGTGTGTCTCTCTTAGGGTCCTCTTTGTTGTGTAGGTTCTCTGGGATTGTGGATTTTACGTTGTTTTTTCTCTGCTTTATGTCTAAAAGCCACTTATGAGTGAGTACATATATTTCTCTTTCTGTGTCTGGGTTACCTCACTCAATATGATGTTTTCTAGATCCATCCATTTGCCCGCAAATTTAAGATGCCATTTTTTTCCCACTGTGTAGTACTTCATTGTGTAAATTACCAGTATTGCAGCAGGATACAAGATTAACTCAAAAAACAAAACAAAACAGTAGCCCTCCTTTATACATACAATAAATGGGCTGAGAAAGAAGTCAGAGAAACATCACCTTTCACAACAGCCACAAATAACATAAAATATCTTGGAGTACCTCTAACCAAACAAGTGGAAGACCTGTATGAGAAGAACATTAAATCTTTGAAGAAAGAAATTGAAGAAGACACCAGACAATGCAAAGATCCCCCATACTCTTGGGTAGGTAGATTTAACATAGAAAAAATGGCAATCTTACCAAAAGCAATCTACAGATTCAATGCAATGCCCATCAAAATCCCAGTGAAATTCTTTACAGACCTTGAAAGAACAATATCAACTTCATATGGAAAAACAAAAAACCCAGGATAGCTAAACAATTCTGTACAATAAAGGAACTTCTGGAGGCATCACAATCCCTGACTTAAAACTCTACTATAGGGGTTCTGCCTTTTAAAGGGAGGGGTACGGCGCATGTGCCCAGAAGTAGCAATGTCCCACTTTGCTTTAGGCTTCTGATAGCTGAGCCCAATATCTTCTGTCACTGCCTCAATGCTACAGCTCTTCTACAGGTAGCAGAGGATGCTCACTGTCTACAGGGGTGCCTTCCTATCTGGCTTCTTTAGAGACATCAGCAGCATAATAGTAATTTTGTCCATAATGTCTGTTTTCCAAAATGTCTACCATAGTTGTAAAAGCAGTTTTGTGGCATGTGGCATAAACAAACTTGGCCAGCTTAAGTGAGGAAAAAATAAATAAAAAGGAATGGACTGGTTAAGGACCAGGTTCTGGGGGAGGAAATGAACTCCAGGCACGAGTTCTCTCTAGAGAATTGCCATTCATGCAATTCACATCAAACGGCTTTTGCTTTTTTATTTGTTAGCTCCCAAAGTTAATGTTCTCTGAGAGGGACTTCCCATTTTTATAATAAATTCTGGACTAACCAGTTTTGTTCAGAGGGTGGGAGTACATTGTCCTAGCACGGAATTTCCTGTTACCACCTTGGAGGGAGGTGTGGGATGGGAGAATCAGCTCTTAGCAGAAGGAGGGCTGAGAGGTACAAAGGGCACGTGCCCACCACCCTATGCTTTTAGAGTGGAAGTGGAGAGATGGAGGGACCCGGATGGCTCGGAGCTGCCACACCAACCAAGGTGCTGGTGATGCTCACCTCAGTTTCCATGGTTTTCATATCCAATGCAAGAGGAAGTCTACAGGGAAGTGGTGGAT